ACTTCCCAAGGTTTTTTTTTGTGTGTGTGTGTAGGGGGGGTTGTGGGGCTTGAACTCTGGGCCTGGGTGCTGTCCCTCAGCTCTTCAGCTCAAGGCCAGTGCTCTACCACTTGAGCCACAGCACCACTTCTGGTTTTCTGGTGGTTAATTGGAGATAAGAGTCTTACGGACTTTCCTGCCTGGGCTGGCTTTGAACTGTGATCCTCAGATCTCAGCCTCTGGAGTAGCTAGGATTACAGGCGTGATTACAGGAAGTCACCAGACTTCCCAAGTTTTTAGGAATATATATTAGGATACTACAAAAAGATATATGATGGAAGTGGAGCTATGGCTCAAATGATAGAACTCCAGCCTTGAGTGAAAAAGCTGAGTGAGAGCACAAGTCCCTAGTTCAAGCCCAGTACCAGCGCACACCCAAAAATCTAGCTACCTATGTGCCATTTGAGCTGCTTCTGTAAGTATGGGTAAAACTACAGTCACATTCTTTCATTCCCTCAATTATTTGCTATCTCTTCTCTAATTTTTAGGAATTTCAGTATCTCCTTTTTGACATCTGTCTATTGAAATTGTCTTAAGAATTGCCAACTTGAGCCGGGCGCTGGTGGCTCATGCCTGTAATCCTAGCTACTCAGGAGGCTGAGATCTGAGGATCGCGGTTCAAAGCCAGCCGGGCAGGAGAGACCCTGAGACCCCTATCTCCAATAAACCACCAGAAAACCGGAAGTGGCGCTGTAGCTCAAGTGGTAGAGTGCTCGCCTTGAGCTGAAGAGCTGAGGGACAGCGCCCAGGCCCAGAGTTCAAGCCCCACGACCAACCAAAAAAAAAAAAAAAATGAATTGCGAACTTTTCCCCAGTTGAGAGGGAGACAAAGGCATCTGTGAGGGAACTACCACTGCTGTTGCTTCTTGCTGTCAATTGGTGTCACTGTTGGAAACAGGTCCTGTACTGTTCAATGGAAACAGTATCTATCTCAGAGTTGTATGGGGGCAGTGAGAAAATATATTCAAAGTGATTAAGCTTAGTATCTCTTGATAGATAAATAGATGATAGATAGATATAAGACAGACATATAGATAGCATTAAGCAGACACTCAATAATTTAGCTATCATGCTATGCTTTTGTGTCCCCATTTTATATCTCATGTAGGGTCTAGAGTATTTCTGGAAACATTCTGGCTTTGGCTAATTTTGAGGAATAGGTGGAGTTTTTGGTCCCCTGCAGGCTGCCAGGTGGCTTGGGGGCCAGGTTGGTGTGGCCTCTGTTCCTCTCAGAAGCCTCTACCTCGCTTATTCCTGATGATTCTGAGGCTGGTGTGCCCCATGTAGATGGAGGGGGCAGAATGGGGAAGCATAGAATCAGATTTTTTTTTCTGGCCCTGAGGAGGCATTAAAAAACTTATAATGTTGGGTATTCAGACTAAAAAGCTCCTGACTTGAGTCAAGCCTTGATGGTGCTAACCAGGTACTAAGTAGATCTTGCTGAATATGGATTCTCACTTTTAAACCAAGGGCTATTCTGCCCGGCTTTCAAAGGCAATGTTCTGCGAGTGTGCTTGTAGCTCATTTATGCTGTGTGCTCTCCATTCCAATCAAGTTGCTTATATAGAATAAGAAATACCCCATTTGCATGTCAACAGCTATTAAAGATGTTCATGTCTGTGTAATACACACAAAGCATATTGATCACTTACAGACTCTGTCCTCTGGGTCTTCACTGTTCCCCTTTTCCTACCTCTAGACCACAATAAGTAAAACCTAACTGCAAAGCATACACAAACCTTTTTTTTTTCACCTCTGCGTAACCATTGTTGCTTTACAAATTTCTCTATTCCTGCTTTAAATACCAAATTTCACACCCACAAGAATACACCTTTCTTGGAAAATGACAACACCTTACTCTTTAATAAACTCTGTGACTAACACATAAGAGATCTCCAAATAGCAATTTATTTCAGATCATGTGAACAAGATTCACCATCCATGACTTTCCTTACATAGCTGTTAGTCGTTAGAATGGACACCTGACCTGATTCCAGCCAATCCTGGCTGTGGCCTGATTTGAAAAGATGAACTTGGCCAGTCAGATTCAGCCTTAGGATATTTTTGTGTGATGGCAATGATTGAACCCATGACTGCATGCATAGTAAGCAATTGCTCGACCAAATTTGCAGCCCAGCGTTAGGAATTTGAGTCAGGACATGTGGAAAGAAACACTAAGTTAGTAGGAGCAGGAGCTGAGGCTAAAAGGCAGAACCAAAAGTTGTTAAATGATTGTGGTGAAGAGAAGCTGAGATAAGCAGGCTGAAGTTAGGGAGAGTTGAGTAGAGGTGGTTGGAGAACGGGGCAGAAAGAATCACAAACAGAACAGCTAGGTTGGCACAATGTACTTGGCACTCTGGGGCCACATTCCGCTCCTTTTTTTCTTTTCGCTTTCTTTCTGTGCCAAGGTAGCCTCAAAATAAACCCTTCATACCATGAGCTAACTTTATTTTCATATTAATTATCATTGCTTTTTTTGGGGGGGAGGGGGGTTACTGAGTTACTGAGGATTGAACCTAGGGCCTCATACAATATGCAGCTAAGTACCCTGTCATTTGAGACTGAGTGTCATTGAGTGCGTCCCTAGACGTTTTGTTTGTATGTTATTTTTATTTTTTTGTTGGTCATGGGGCTTGAACTCTGGGCCTGGGTGCTGTCCCTGAGCTCTTCAGCTCAAAGCTAACGCTCTACCACTTGAGCCACAGCACCACTTTCATTTTTCTAGTGGTTAATTGGAGATACATGTCTCACAGACATTCCTGTCCAGACTGGCTTTGAACCGTGATCCTCAGATCTCAGCCTCCTGAGTAGTTAGGATTACAAGCGTGAGCCACTGGTGCCGAGTTTGTATTTTGTTTATAAGATAGGGTCTTGTTAACTTTGTCCAAGCTGGTTTTGAACGGGTGATCTTCTTGCCTCTCCTTCCTAGCAGCCAGAGTGACAGGTGTTTGTCATCCTAGCCAGTTCTGACTTAATCTTGGTGAGTATTTGTTCATCTTATCTAGGAGAGTCAAGGTAAAATATAAGGCAAGCAAGTACTGCCAGGGGAATTTGAATCCTGGTTTTCTGGGCACAGAGTTTCTGCTCTCCTCACTGTACCCCTTTGCCACATTCCAAATTCTACTCTGCTCCATCAGAGCCCATGAAGTCACCTTCATGTATCTGAAAAAGAACCAATAATGGACTCAAGCATCCTGAATCCTTGTGCTTAGTCTTGGCTTGCATCCGGAACCCTGAAGAACAGGGTGGAGGCAAAGAAAGTCTCAAGGGCTGGGAAGGTGGCTCAGTGGTAGAGCGCTAGCCTTGAGCTGAAGAGCTGAGGGACAGCACCCAGGCCCAGAGTTCAGGCCCCACGACCGGACCCCCCCACCCCGCCCCCCAAAAAAAAGAAAGTCTCAAAGCAACTGGTTGGTGTCAAAACGAAACTGAGGCAGGACTTCCTCTTTTTGGAGTAGACAGTATTGGAATGGAAAGAGCATGGGGCTAGAGGTAGATTCAATTCTTCACGGTGCAGAGAACTGGGCCTTCATAAATTCCAGGGCTGACTGGTGAGTGTGGTGAAACATGCTTGTAATCCTGGCACTCAGGGAGGCTGAAGCAGAAGGGCTGTAAGTTCTTTGCTAGCCTGGGCTACACAGCCAGACCCTAGCTGACACACACACACACACACACACACACAAACACACACACACACTGCAGACACTTGTCTATCCCCATTTCTAGCCTGAGATTCTAAGATAGTGTCTGACTTATATTTGAATGAATGAGTGATTGAATAAATGAATGGCAGAAGTGGGTCACGGCACCTGTTCAAGTGTCTGAATCCTTCTTTCTTCAGTGGAATCTTCCCAAGTCAAGGAACACCTGTCTCTATCTCTATGCAACTATTCATGCAGCACTCTGAGTAATGTTTACAGTGACTACTTCAGCTTTAAACTTCAGCTTTTCAAAAAAAAAAAAAAATCCCCGAGATGCTGTGCTGGTGACTGCAGGAATGACATAGCGCCAAGACTTCAAATGGACAACTCGGGACTGTATTTGCTCTGTTTACAAAAACACCACCCGCTTTGTCTTCCTCTGTCTGGACAGAGTGAGGTTTTCATTATAAGAGGCTGACTAAAAAATGCAGGGCCACTTCCTGGGCAGGCTTCCAAGTGACTACATCTTTCTCACAGCGTTCCCCAGAGCCCCAGCCCAAGCTGCCTGGGGCGGGGCCTCCAGCCATTGGTGGCTGGTGAAGCTACCACAGTTAACAGTTATCTGCAGCCCGCCACAATTGCTGGGCTTTTAGGCCCTCCCTGGGCACAGATAACGGGCTTTTGGCCTTTGCACCGAAGAGACGTCAGAGGTTGTGATTGGCTGGCCTTGTGTATGTGAAGTACAGGAGGATGTCGCGCCACGCTTCCGAGTATGATGCTCCGTTTAGCCGAGTGCCCCGGGTGTGGGTGAGTCTAAATGCTGGAAGACTGCCCTTGTTGGTTGGGAACTGTTCAAAGCTGGGCATTCTGACTTTCTATATAAGGCTATGACTTAGCATATTTCTTAACTCTGCAGTGCCTCAGTTGCCTTTTCTGTGAAATAGGTGTAATGGTATCCTATTCCATAGGAAGACAGAAGGCGGTGTGGATCGGAGAATGTCATGAGGCCGAGAAGAGAGAACAGATCCAGAGTACTTCATTTGGTACCTGGCACATGGTAGACACTGAAAAGCTCTTACTGTTTGTGAGGCATCAGTTTAAAGGGGGGAGGGGTGCTCAGTGACAAAGCCCTGCCTTTATTTCGATCAGTACACTATTTCTCCGAGACCCAGCAGATTCGTTCTATTGCTTCATCATACTCATGTAGTCAGCAGAAATAAAACTTCAGGGGAAGATAATGCTGAAGGAAAATTTGTCAGAACACACACACACATATACACACACATATATATCTGTGATTCTTTTCTTTTCTTTTCCTTCCAGACGCTGACTGCACCAGCTCCATTTGCAGATGAATCCAGCTGTCAATGCCAGGCACCCCATGAAAAACTAACCATTGCTCAGGCTCGCTTAGGAACACCAGGTAAGGCCGTCCTTTCCTTCCCCAAAGGGACTCTGCCTTGACATTTTAAAGAATCAGAAAGCACTGGCATTCCATCAGAGCTGAAGTTAGGGATTGCAGGCACAGGGCAAGAAAGGTAAACATGAATGGCATTAACCTAGACCAATCCACGTAGCCAGTTAAAATGGGCAGCAGAACATATGAGCTTGGGTCTGACTACCATTTACTAGGTCTACAGGCTGGGCCAAGTCGTGAGAGAGATCACAGTAAGATAGGAAAGACACCTGTATCACAAGGTTTGTTCAGTTAAAAGTACCAAAGCATTTTTTAAACTATGAAGGCATTTTTTCCCACCCACCAGTACTGGCTTTTGAACTCAGAGTCTTTGTACTAGCTCTGTTTGTTCACTTGATTGGCAGTTTACCCCATGAGGCACATGTCCAGGCTGGTGCTATTTATTTTTATATGGGTGCTGGTACTGGGGCTTGAACTCAGGGCTTTGTGCTTCCACTTAGCTTTTTCATATCAAGGCTGATGATGTACTTGAGTCATATCTCTACTTCTAGTTTTTTTTTTTTTTTCCTGCTTAATTGGGCTAGTTTTGAATTTCCATCCTCAGATCAGCATCCCAAGTAGCTAGGATTTCAGGTAGAAGCCACCAGGGCTTAGCTTTAACCTGGCTTTTCACTGATTATTTTTGGAGGTGGAATCACATGGACTTTTCAGTCCACTTGGCATCAAAACGTGAGTGTCCTGATCTCAGCCTTCTGAACAGCTACGCGTGACTCTCCAGATCCCAGGCCTATGAAGGTTTTTATGAACCTAAGCTGCTATGATTATGACTCTTTTCTTGGTTTGTTTTTGCTGGTCGTGGGGCTTGAACGCTGGGCCTGGGTGCTGTCCTTCGGGGGGTCCGGTCATGGGGCCTGAACTCTGGGCCTGGGCGCTGTCCTTCAGCTCTTCAACTCAAGGCTAGCGCTCTACCATTTGAGCCACTGGGCGCTGTCCTTGAACTCTTCAGTTCAAGTCAAGCACTCTACCAGTTGAGCCATAGTACCACTTCCGGTTTTCTGATGATTAATTGGAGATAAGAGTCTCACAGACTTTCCTGCTCAGACAGGCCCACGATCCTTAGATCTCAGCCTCCTGAGTTGCTAGGATTATAGGCTGAGGCCACTGTGCCCCAGATTCTAGACAGCTTTTTCAAACAGTATTTGCTGGGCCAAATACTTGTGATTCTTCCATCACAAGGGGCTTGCCTGTGAAGCTCTAGCCTTAGGCAACTGCAAGGCTAACTACTCACGTATTGAGCTAAAAGATGCAAGGTGTAGAACAGGACAGAACATAGGGCTGCACATTACAGAACGTTAACTTGTCTTGTTGGGTGCTGGTGGCTCCTGCCTCTAATCCTAGCTACTCAGGAGGCTGAGATCTGAGGATCGTGGTTTGAAGCTAGCCTGGGGCAGAAGAACCAATGAAACTCTTATGTCCAATTAACCAGCAAAAAGCCAGAAAGTGGAGTTGTGGCTCCAATAGTAGAGTGCCAGCTTGAAAAAAAAAAGCCCAGAGAAAGCAGCAGGCTCTGAATTTATGCTTCAGTACTGACTCAATAAAATTTATTATGTCTTAAAAATTTCCCTCCTTCAGGTCCCCCAACCCACCTCCTTGCTTTTTTTCTTTTTTGTCGGTAATGGGACTTGAACTCTGGGCTTGGGCGCTGTCCCTGTGCTCTTCAGCTCAAGGCGAGTGCTCTACCACTTTAGCCACAGTGCCACTTCCAGTTTTCTAGTGGTTTATTGGAGATAAGAGTCTCACGGACTTTCCTGCCCGGGCTGGCTTTGAACCGCGATCCTCAGATCTCAGCCTCCTGAGTAGCTACGATTACAGGTGTGAGCCACCAGCGCCTGGCTCCTCTTCGCTTCTTGAAGACAAGAAAGGATTAGGTTCCTTTTTTTCCCACAATCTGGAAATTGCTGACACATTACAATTTTTAAAAGTGAGCTTATTGCAAAACCAACTCTGCAAATATTCCTCAAATTTACTAAATGGCCTTTTTCTCAGTAATTATGTCATCTTTCTTTACTTTTCTCTCTCTAGCTTCCTGAATTCATTTATCCTGTTCACCTCTGAATCATTAACAAAAAGTTCTACAAACTGCCATCTGCTTTTTCATGGCGTTTATATCTTAAAACAAATTTTCCTCAATTGAATTCAAATTGAATAAGACCATTGAAACCCAGGATCCCTCATTAGACAGTTTGTTATTTCCAAGCATATTCTCTTTACTGTGCCTTATTTAGAATACAGTATAATCCTGCAATTCTGTTGGTTCAAAATAGTGTATAATTGAAATAGTTGCAGTTCTTAATCTGACATAAAGCCTCTAGATTTTTATTAGAGAAATTTAATATATTAATACCATCATATCATCTAAATCTACTAATATTTCTTTCTGTTCTAAATTAATGTGGTTGAAATGCCTCAAGAAATAATCATAGTTTTAAATCAAATCCTAAAGATCATTCAACGGAAGGTTGCACTGATTTCTTCCTTTTTAAAAATGCCACTTCTTTTGTGGTGCTGGGGGTTGAACTCAGGACTTTGTGCATGCTAGCAGGTACTCTACCTCTGAACTACACGCCTAGTCCCTAAAACCGCATTTTTTTTTTTTGGTCCTGGGGCTTGAACTCTGGGCTTGGGCACTGTCCATGCGCTCTTCAGCTCAAGGCGAGCGCTCTACCCCTTGAGCCACAGCACCACTTCCGGTTTTCTAGTGGTTTTTATTAGAGATAAGAGTCTCAGAGACTTCTCTGCCTGGGCTGGCTTTGAACCATGATCCTTATAGGATTACAGGCGTGAGCCACCAGTGCCCAGCTTAAAACCTCATTTTTATGCCATTAATATTACACATGTGAATATTTTCTTTATGCCATTAATATAACACATGTGGATATTTTCTTTTTCTTTCCTTTTTTTTTCCTTTTTGGTCAGTTGTAGGGCCTGAACTCTGGGCCTGGGCGCTGTCCCTCAGCTCTTCAGCTCAAGGCTAGCACTCCACCACTTGAGCCACAGCACCACTTCCGGCTTTTTTTCTTTTTGCTTATGTGGTGCTGAGGAATCGAACCCAGGGCCTCATACGTGTGAGACAAGCACTCTACCACTGAGCCACCTTCCCAGCCCCTAGACTAAATTCTTATAATCCTTCTTTATTTTTTTTAGACAGAGCCTTGCCTAAGTAGCCTTGGATATCGTTGAATTCATGATCCTCTGCCTTCTTGGTAGATGGAAGTAAAGGCCCAACTTCTTACATTAAAACAATGTTGTTATGGCCACAATGGTCTCTTCCCTTCTACTCCATGCAAGAATAAAAAATATCTCAATGTTGTCTGTATCCATCAAGAGGAGGTGGCAGATGTACTTAGAATAAGAGCAATAGCCAAATATGGGAAACTACTATTTTCTTTCACCATCCATCTTTGGATTCTCTTCTTAGATTTTCACTTTACTTTTTTTTTTTTTTTTTGCCAGTCCTGGTGCTTGAACTCAGGGCCTGAGGGCTGTCCTTGAGCTTCTTTTGCTCAAAGCCAGTGCTCTACTGCTTGAACCACAGTGCCACTTCTGGCTTTTTCTGAATAGGTTTTTTTTTTTTTTTGGTCGGCCGTGGGGCTTGAACTCAGGGCCTGGGCACTGTCCCTCAGCTCTTCAGCTCAAGGCGAGCGCTCTACCACTTGAGCTATAGCACCTCTTCCGGTTTTCTGGTGGTTTATTGGAGATAGGAGTCTCACGGTCTCTCCTGCCCGGGCTGGCTTTGAACCGCGATCCTCAGATCTCAGCCTCCTGAGTAGCTAGGATTACAGGCGTGAGCCACCATCACCGCTTTCTGAATAGTTTATTGGCGATAAGAGTCTCACAGACTTTCTTGCTCAAGCTAGCTTTGAACCATAATCCTCAGATCTCAAACTTCTGAGTAGCTAGGATTATAGGTGTGAGCCACCAGCACCTGGCTTAGGTTTTTTACTTTGTAGTTGAGAGTAGAGAAAGGTGTAGAAGTTGGCGAACAAATATATAAAACTTTCACAAATGTAACAGAGATCTAGACTATTAGGATGGAAGTATAAAAGAGTGAGAAACTCCTTCCTCCCCGATTGTAACCTGCTTAGTTTGCCAATCTGACAGGATCCTATCCTCCACACCCTCTCCTCTGATTTGAAAGGGATGGATTTTGGCCTGGCTCAGTCAGATGGTGTCCTGAAGGCCTGTGAAAGAATACAGTGTTGTCAGCTCACCTCTGACCAAAGCTACAGAGCCGGAGGTGAGCTGCCAACAACATATAATATTGTTACACAGACACTGCTCACTTTGGGGCATATATTTCCCTTTGTCTTATAATACCAAAGAGGTGACAGAGTGACATGATGATATGCTTGTAAACTTTTAACAATTTACCCTCTAGGGAGAAATAAGCCTTGATTGTAGCATTTGCCAATCTCTGTGGTGTAATCGCTCCTACCGTGGCTCACTCCAGGCTACCAAGGAGACTTGGAGTTAGGAGGAAAAGTATGCACACCTTATTTGAGTAGTACACACAGATTTCAGCACATCACTACCTTAGCGAACAAGAGTTGAGATTTCTCATTGGGAATTTCTGAACTCAAGGATGGAGTCATGTATCCTTTTCCTTGAACACCTCCAGTCCTTACACTTTGATATTCCAGCCAGGCTTACACTACTGGCTCAGACATCAGAATTCCTCTAGGGGACTAGACACCTTCCTAGTGCTCTATGTTCACCTTCCCCATTGGGCTAACAATGCTCGGGTTTGATTTTAATTTATGTTTGCTCTTCATTGATGTCTTTAGAAGAACTTATTCTGTTTTTCTTTTTAAGGTTTATTTTATTTTATTTTCCAGTCCCGGGGCTTGAACTCAGGGCCTGAGCACTGTCCCTAGGCTTCTTTTGCTCAAGGCTAGGGCTCTACCACATGAACCACAGCACCACTTCCAGCTTTTTCTGTTTATGTGGTGTTGAGGAATCGAACCCAGGGCTTCATGCATACGAAGCAAGCACTCTATCCCTAAGCCACATTCCCAGGCAAAAAGGTTTTTTTAAATTGTTATTATAAAGGTGATGTACAGAAGGGTTACAGTTACATAAGTCAAGTAAAGAGTACAATTCTTTTTTTTTTTTTTGGGGTCCGGTCGTGGGGCCTGAACTCTGGACCTGGGCGCTGTCCCTCAGCTCTTCAGCTCAAGGCTAGCACTCTACCACTTGAGCCACAGTGCCACTTCCAGCTTTTTTCTTTTTGTTTATGTGGTGCTGAGGAATGGAACCCAGGGCCTCAGGCATGCAAGGCAAGCACTCTACCACTGAGCCACCTTCCCAGCCCAAGAGTACAATTCTTTTTGGACAATGTCACCCCTTCCCTCGCTGTTTCCCAGTTATTTCCTCCAGTCCCCACCTACAAGTTGTATAGTTCATTTTCAACATGGTGTCTAGTGAGTACCATTGCTCCATTTGTTCACCCTTTGTCTTTCCATTCCTGCGTCTTCTTTTACTCTCCCAAAGACAGAGAAATAAACAAGACAAAATAAAACAAAAACAACAACAAAGAAAAAAATCTGTCTCCATTTCCTGTCATCCATTTTGATAAAGATTATTTTATATGATCAGATGCACATAGGCATTGCACCTTTGTGTTTCCTCTCCTAAGAAAAAAAATTATTCTTAAAATCAATTTCAGGTACTAATATGAAACCCATACTAGAGATTGTGTCTCATCTAGGTAAACTTTCTCATGGTGCTATACCAATGGTGCTATACCAATGGACCATCACTGGGATTCTTTATTCTGCAGTTGTCTTAACAGTTTTGTCTTTTCTTCCACAGTTGACAGACCTGTCAGAGTATATGCAGATGGAATATTTGACCTGTTCCACTCGGGTCATGCCAGGGCACTTATGCAAGCAAAAACACTGTTTCCTAACAGCTACTTGTTGGTAGGAGGTAAGAAGAGCATTTTCTCTTTGTCCAGAAAAGTTCTTTTATGTAAATGTTTCCTGAGGGACTGCCTTCAAACTTCCATTAGTAAAATCTGACATTGTTCATTCTGTCTTGCTTACGTGTCCACTGCCTGAAATTTAAAATGATGTTTAAAAAAAGAACCATAGGGGAAATTACATTGTGACATTGTGTACTGTTGGTCTTCAAGAGAGACAGATTAATAATACTACCCAAGGATAGATGCTTCATGTTTTCCATTAATACATTTCTCCTGGTATTTGAGCCATTTATTATCCGAAAATTTTCTTTTGGGTCAAGAGAAAAGCAATAATAATCTGATACCTAATCTCAGAGAACTGTAGGGGTTTAGGATGATTGAAGCTGAACAAGGTCATTGTGTATTTGTGTGTGTGTGTATATGTGCGCCCACAATACTTAGGACTATATACTATACTAATAGTAGTGGCTTATGACAGCCCTATTAGTTGAATTTGTGTGCAGTATGTTAAAGAAGTGGAGCTTTAGCCGGGCGCTGGTGGCTCACGCCTGTAATCCTAGCTACTCAGGAGGCTGAGATGTGAGGATCGCGGTTCAAAGCCAGCCCGGGCAGGAGAGACTGTGAGACTCCTATCTCCAATAAACCACCAGAAAACTGGAAGTGGCGCTGTAGCTCAAGTGGTAGAGCGCTAGCCTTGAGCTGAAGAGCTGAGGGACAGCGTCCAGGCCCAGAGTTCAAGCCCCACGACCGACCAAAAAAAAAAAGAAAGAAAGAAGTGGAGCTTTATGTACCCAGGCAATCTTAGTTAACAATGAAAGGGCCAACTTACTTTCTAAGCTTAAGGGGAAAAAAGGATGCTTCTATGTGGATTGAAATTTTCCCCCTCCAGAAGGCCTACCTATTTCAATTTGGATATAAAGGGTATAGTACCTGATTCAACAGATTGGTATCTCACTTCTGTTGCTTCTGGAAGGAAGCAGTATATTCATTCAGAGTGATCAGATTTTGTATGAAATAAGTACAATCCACCTTGAGACTTAAACGGTGAAAAAATTTATAGGCAAGCTGGGCGCCAGTGGCTCTCACACCTGTAATCCTAGCTACTCAGGAGGCTGAAATCTGAGGATCACGGTTCAAAGCCAGCACCGGCAGGAAAGTCTGTGAAACTCTTATCTCCAATTAACCACCAGAAAAACCAAAGTGGTGCTGTGGCTCAAGTGGTAGAGTGCTCGCCTTGAGCACAAGAGCTCAGGGACAGTGTCCCAGGCCCAGAGTTCAAGCTCCACAACTGACAAAATTAATTAAAAAAATATGTAAAAAACCAAGTATATTTTCTTTTTAAAGTTTATTGTTGGACAGGGAATGTGGCTTAGTGGTAAAGGGTTTGCCTAGCATGCATGAGGCCCTAGGTTTGATTACTTGGTACCACATAAGATTACTAAAAGCAGGGCTGGGGAGGTGGCTCAGTGGTAGGGTGCTTTGCCTCGCATGCATGAGGCCCTGGGTTCGGATTCCTCAGCACCACATAAACAGAAAAAGCCAGAAGTGGTGCTGTGGCTCAAGTGGTAGAGTGCTAGCCTTGAGCTGAAGAACTCAGGGACAGCGCCCAAGCCCAGAGTTCAAGCCCCACAACCGACCAAAAAAACAAAAACAAAAGATTACTACAAGGAAAAATAACCACTAAAAATTATTTTTATTTTCTCCAAGATTAAAACTTAGACAGGAACAGAAAATGCTGGTCCCAGGAGAGTCCTTAAGTATCTATTACTAACTAGATTGATGGTGTTCCAGGAAAGGTCCCCAAAAGGAAGGAGGCTTGTTCATGATGTCAGGGGAAATAAAAAGAGGCAGAGATAAGAAAGTTTATTAGTAAAGCAAAGGAAAGGTAGATAGTACAGCACCCAGCTATGGGTGGGGACGCCTCGGATAACAGGTGTAATAAGTGCTCTAATATTATGGGTATTTATGGCAAAAAATAAAGTAAGTTGGGGCCTTAGTTCAAAGTTGTCTGAGGCTAAGTGCTCCACTTTTATCCGATACCTGATCTATTTTGCCATTTTGCTATTGTGCTGTTTTATGAATTGGGCCCAGAGATGTCAAGAGTGGCCTGCTTACTAAATGTGAGGGTTTTTAAAAAAAATTTTACATATTTTATTTATGTGGTATGGAAGAATTGAACGTAGGGCTTCATGCATGCTAGGCAAGCACTCCACCAGTAAGCCACCTTCCCAGTCCCCTAAATGGGGAAGTACTGATGTCTGCATATCCTTTCAAATGGATTCTGCCACAAACTCCCTTCACAAGGGTCTGTGTGTATGTGTGTGTTTCTGATCCTGGGGATTGCACTCAGGGCCTGGGTTCTGTCTCTGAGCCTTTCTGTGCTCAAAACTCTACCACTTGAGCCACAGAGCCACTTCTGGTTCTTTCTGAGTAGGTTTTTTTCTTTTTTGTTGTTGTTAGTCATGGGACGCTGTCCCGGAGCTCTTCAGCTCAAGGCTAGCAGTCTACCACTTGAGCCACAGCGCCACTTCTGGTTTTCTGGTGGTTAACTAAAGTTAAGAGTCTCACGGACTTTCCTTGCTCAGGCTGGCCTTGAACCACGATCCTCAGATCTCAGCCTCCTGAGTAGCTAGGATTACAGGTGTGAGCCACTGGCGCCCGGCTTTCTGAGTAGTTCTTTGGAGAAAAGATTCTCATGAACTTTCCTGCCTAGGCTAGCTTTGAATTGGTATCCTCAAATCTCTGCCTCCTGAGTAGCTAGGATTACAGGGATTATAGGCCTGGCGCCAGTTCATCTTGTATTTTTAATGCTCAGAAGAGTTATTTTTCTCAAGTGTCCCCCCACTCCCCAGGATGTTTGTTTTAAAGATTTCCTTAGTCCTGGAGCATGCTAATCAGCTGGGCAAGCTGACAAGGTCAGAAGAAGACAGCTTCTTTTTTCCTTTTTTCTTTCACTAAATATTATTGCTTATGAAAATATTATTGCTTATGAAGGAGTGTAGGCTTAAAGCAAGTAGTTCTTGTGTGCTTTTAATTGAACTATTTGTTAACATATTGTCTGAATTCTTGGCTGTGGTTTCCCATGCCTCATTTTTTTTTTTTCTGATCTATACTGCTTCAAAACTATTTTGGGATTCTTTCAGAGGAATCCCTCTGCAGAAAGAAGAGCCAGAGATGAAAGGAAATGTTTACTGACTGAGTCACACACAGGGAACTCAAAGCAGGCAGAGAACTCCACCCTTGGTCACTACCCTTTGTTCTGAGTGGAAACCTTTTTCTTGAGTGTCATCACTCAGAGCCTGCTCCCAGGTTACTGAGGCCCTGGGAAAACCTCTGCAGCATGTGGCATTTGGACATTTTGGGAACCTGAGTTTGGACGTGGTTTGATATGGCTCATAGCTAAGTGCGTACCTCTGAAGTTGTATGTATGTATGTATGTATGTATGTCGATCCTGGGGCTTGAACTCTGGGCCTGGGCACGGCCGGCCCCTCAGCTCTTCAGCTCAAGGCAAGCGCTTTATCACGAGCCTCAGCACCACTTCCCGATTTCTGGTGGTTAACTGGAGATAAGAGTCTCACACGGACTTTCCTGCTTGGTCTGGCTTTGAACCGTGATCCTCAGATCTCAGCTTCCTGAGTACCTAGGATTATAGGAGTGCGCCACCAGCACCAGCCCTCTGAAGTTTTAAACACATCCATTTATAAATATGTATTTCAAACCCTACAACAGACAAAAATAAATAAAATATATATCAAGCTGTTTGTAGCTTTTAAATCTTTTACTAACTTCATTTTCCCCTCAGACTTTCTCTCCTAGAATTTTTTCTGATGTGCTGCCTTAGTGCTTGCAAATCTTCTAGCGATCATCCTTATTCTAGTTTCTGAAACAAAAATATGTTTAAATCAGTATATACTAACTAAAGTACTATACTATACATTTTGTTGTTGTTGTTGGTCTTGGGGCCTGAACTCTGGGCCTGGGCACTTTCCCTCAGCTCTTCAGCACAAGGCTAGCACTTTACCACTTGAGCCATAGAGCCACTTCTGGCTTTTTTTGCTTATGTGGTACTGAGGGATTGAATCCAGGGCCTCATGCATGCAAGGCGAGCGCTCTACCACTGAGCCACCTTCCCAGCCCCTGCACTATACATTTTTGTAACTAATTATAAATATAAAGATGTTTGGTCTCTAATGAGATGAATGGAATCTCCTGATTTGTGGATTTACTGCTGGATGAGTATAACTTACTAGTAGAGTGAGTCAGGATTTAACAACTTTATATTTTCCGGGTTATAGATATAGACTGAAATATTTTGCCCACACAAATGTTTTAAAAGTATTATTTAAGATAACTTATTATAGCCAGTCACTGGTGGCTCACACCTGTAATCCTAGCTACTCAGAAGGCTGAGATCTGAGGATCAAAGTTTGAAGCCAGCCACGGTTAGGAAAGTCCATGAGACTCTTATCTCCAATAAAATACTCAGAAAAAGCCAGAAGTAGAGCTGTGGTTCAAGTGGTAAAGTGCTAGCCTTGAAAAAAAGAAACTCAGGGACAACACTCAGTGCCTGAGTTCAAAACCCAGGACTGGCACCAGAAACAAAACAAAGAAGCTTATTATTTTATGGGTTTATTACGTGACAACTTGTGAAGACCCTCCTTCAAATTTGTTGAGAGCAAGGGATTAGAAATGACCTGTAAAAGGATTCTTTTTTTTTTGTCAGTTGTGGGGCTTGAACTCTGGGCCTGGGCACTGTCCCTGTGCTCTTCAGCTCAAGGCTAGCCCTCTACCACTTGAGCTACAGCGCCACTTCTGGTTTTCTGGTGGTTTGCCCGGGCTGGCTTTGAACCTCGATCCTCACATCTCAGCCTCCTGAGTAGCTAGGATTACAGGCGTGAGCCACCAGCGCCTGGCTTATAAAAGGATTCTTACTAAGTCATTAGAATCATTTACTTTCTCTCTTTCTGGGAATTATAACAAAAGGCTATATCAAGACTTATCAAA